ATGATGGGATCCGGTGCACTAGTACTGTTATGATCGGACCAGAAGTTTGTTTTCTCAAATTCTTTTGTCATTAGTGTAGTGGTTTTAGCCACACATGTTCTCTCACGTGGAGGTTTCGGACCTATAATAGTAGACCATAACTTCATTCGTCAAATATATTTTTCCTGCAAAATAATATTTTTAATGCTAAAAAAAAAAACCAAATTACTCTGTAAGGCATATATTTAATTAAATTATCTGTACTATAATTTAAAACTAATCAGCGCACTAAAGAATATAAATTACTCTGTAAGGCAAAATCATCAACTCAGATTTCATTTTCCCCGATCCTCAAAATCAGAGAGAGACGAAGACGATCCAAAACCCTAAACCCATTCCCGCGGATTTTCCCCACTGAAGCTGATACGGAGAACTAATGGGAGATCCGTTGGAGAGGTTGGGATCGGAGGCTTTAATGGCGACGGAGTCTGGAATGAAGGAAGACTTATGCGTAGAGATCGATCCTCCTCTGACTGAAACCGTCGCTACGGCCGATGATTGGCGTCGTTCTCTCAGTAAAGTTGTTCCTGCCGTCGTTGTTCTCCGTACAACGGCATGTCGCGCCTTCGATACCGAGTCCGCCGGTGCTAGCTATGCTACTGGGTTTATTGTTGATAAGCGACGAGGGATCATTCTTACTAATCGACATGTGGTTAAGCCAGGTGCGATTTGGACTCTTGGTTTTTGTTTTTGTTTTTTTGGGACGAATTGATCAGATACGAGTTTAGGGAGCAGCTACAGATATCAGAAATCACATACTATGTAGTGGAGTTTTAGAGGCGATAATGGTTTCTTGAAGTATTGTGCTTGCTTTAGGGTTATACGATTCCGTAGCTATTACCTGTTTGATTTGGTGGTCCAGAATAAAGAACCTCGGCTTGGAAAAGACAATGTTCTGATTCTAATTAATAAGTTCTGATATGGAGATATTTTGATCAGTCCTTCTCGGTTGTTGAAGTAGACTGAGAATCTATGTAATATTTAGTGATTCATATGTATATCTTATCCTTCTATTTCTTTAACTGTAGGCCCAGTAGTTGCTGAGGCAATGTTTGTGAACCGTGAAGAAATCCCGATCTATCCTGTATATAGGGATCCGGTAAGTCTTTCATTCTAATCCCTAGGTTACATGTCAGTTTTCCTTTTTTTCCTGCTTCCCTTTGAGCATGAGCGAATTGGCATCACTGTCCAGAATATCTTGGTTTGACAGAGGCCGTGGTTGCATTCAGATGGTTCATGTTTCATTTAAACGACCATGTGTCTTATCAGGCTGACATTCTTTGGTATCTTTTCAGGTCCATGACTTTGGCTTCTTTTCATATGATCCCAGTGCGGTACAGTTTCTCAGTTATGAAGAAATTCCTCTTGCTCCAGAGGCAGCTTCTGTTGGACTTGAAATTAGAGTTGTTGGCAATGATAGCGGAGAAAAGGTAACATAAATAGTATGGCTTGTTCAGACACATTTATGGAGAAGCAATGCTTCTGGTAATTGAAACGTGGATTTGCAGGTTTCCATTCTGGCTGGTACTCTTGCTCGGTTGGATAGGGATGCACCACATTATAAAAAGTACAATCTGCTCCATTGATCATCTTGTTATAGTTCTGCTTATTTCTCAGCATGAAAAGTTGTTTGATGTTATCTGATACTTTCTTGAAATCTTCTTAAATTCCTATAGGTAGTTGTTATCGAAGTAGTAAGATACCTTTTAAAAATTTCTGGTTTTTTATGATTACTTGCGCTGTAACAGTTTATTGGTTTTTGGTGCAGAGATGGTTATAACGACTTCAATACGTTTTATATGCAAGTAAGTGATTATGTCCTCTTTAATATTTATTACTTTATTTTACTCGCTAACTTATTTGAACTAAATTGCACGCTATCTCTCCTTAGTCAAATCTTGTTTTTCATCTTTTTAGTCGTCTCATCCTTATGGTTATTTCCCGTTTTCTGTTTACATTATCCCAAGGCCACCAACTAGGGGTAGAAACTTCCTGTTTGTAGCTTGTTGTGCAATGCTCAACTATATTATGCTAAAATTATTCGAAGTGCAACCCTTACTCACAAGCTGCTGCTTGCTATTGTTTATGTGTTTATAGGCAGCATCAGGAACTAAAGGTGGCTCAAGTGGTTCTCCTGTCATTGATTGGCAAGGTAGGGCGGTAGCCTTGAATGCTGGCAGCAAATCTTCAAGTGCATCAGCCTTCTTCTTACCACTTCATCGAGTAAGCAATCTCTCTATTTCATTTACTCATTTCGATGGTTCAGTAAAGACTAGATGGTGTAACATATTTAGTCACTGAAAGAACCCCAATAAACGTAGAACAATAGTTTATTGTGTATACTCGTGAGCTTCTGCTTCTGTACAATGTTACAAGTAAATTACACTTGTATTTGAGATCTCTTTTTTTCATTATGGGGCCTGAGTGTTTACTAGGAGACATTGATAAAGTCAGACAAGGTTCCTGAAATCATTTATAGTTTTGCTTTGTGAATTAATAAGAAATTTAATTAGGACTTTTGATCGAATTCCTTGTTTGGAAGGTTGTTAGGGCGTTGAGTTTTCTTCAAAAAACCATTGACTCGTGCTCAGAGAATCCAAAAGCAGTTCATATTCCTCGTGGCACGCTACAGGTTTGTTTTCCACCTGTTGGGTTTTGAAACTCTTCATAGTTGCAATAGTTTCCAACTATTGTCAGCTTTGCTGAGATTCAGAGGAGATCAATTTCTATTATTTGATTATGAGTTCTGGCCTCTGGGTTGCTTATGTAAGCTTTTATATGTTTTCTTGTATACTCAGATGACATTTCTTCACAAAGGATTCGATGAAATACGGCGACTTGGTCTCAGGAGCGAAACTGAACAGGTACATGATGTTTCTTCTTACCATTATGTTGGACATCAGCCTTTCATGTGTTACGCAGTGACACCTTTAAATGCTATATCCGGCCTGTGTAGGTGGTTCGACACGCTTCTCCGACTGGGGAAACGGGAATGCTGGTTGTTGACTCTGTGGTGAGTGCATTGCTTCATTATTTACATACACTACATTAACTATTTTCAAAGAAAACGGAAACTGTTTAAGTGATGGCCAAAATTTGAATATTCTCATCCTATATATAATGTCTTTAATGTGGTAGGTGCCAAGCGGCCCTGCTGATAAACATTTGGAGCCGGGAGATGTTCTTGTTCGTGTGAACGGCACAGTAAGTTTTCTCTAGTACATCTTGTTAGCAAGGATTTTTGTTTCTGTTTGCTTTAAGCAATCGAGTATTCTGATATCTTTTGTTGCAGCATGTGCATGACTATAGAACCTATTAATCAGTGCACTTTCAATGTCTAGTTCTTTTTTTCCTCGTTTTGCTAAATCTCTCTTTATACATTTGGTTGTTATCACAGGTGCTCACTCAATTTCTGAACTTGGAGAATCTGCTTGATGACAGTGTTGGCCAGATAGTTGAATTGGAGATTGAAAGGGGTGGACAGCCACTATCTGTTAGTGTATCAGTGAGTTCCATACTTCTTTTGCTAACCTTGGTTTTATGTGCCCAATAGTCTTCTAGGATTTTGTGTTTATTTTCTGCCCAGTCACATGCTGGCTAAAAAAGTAGGAGACGATGTAAAGTCTCTTTTCTTTTTTGTTGGTCATTAAATTCGTTTTTGTGGCTCTTTTCGTTTAACCAGATAGATGAAAGAGCTCGTCAATACCTTACGCGTAATATTCATTTAGGATTACGTAATCTGCTTATATGTGATTCAAACGTATTATCTTTCATAAATATCAAAAGCCTTATGTGTTTGTGTATTTACTGCCACAGGTTCAGGATTTACACTCAATCACTCCAGACCATTTTTTGGAAGTAAGCGGTGCTATAATTCATCCTTTGTCTTATCAGCAGGTAACTGTGACGAAAAAATATATTTTTTGAAAACTTCTGCTTCTTTGTGCCTGCTTGCATGCATGATATTCTTGTGTCCTATAGGTGGAACTATTGTCTTTATGGTACAGGGTAGACTGTCTGTCACTGAATTTGCATGCTGATCTTAAAATTTATTGACTTAACAGGCTCGTAATTTCCGTTTTCCTTGTGGCCTGGCTTATGTTGCGGACCCTGGGTAAGCCGCTCTACTTCTGCCATAAAAAAATTCAGATTTTTTTATCCATGTGCAGTTCCCCAGTAAATCCCAACAGAAAAAGTTTTCCTTCTACGTTCTTTTAATTCTAAGATTTATTTATCTGCATTCTCAGTACAAAAGGTCAACTGTAACTTCTTCTTATACCACACTTAATTTTTAAAGTGACACTTTTAAAATCTCTCCATCAGAGATCTTAAGAAAATTTGTGTTTAGCTTCTCTCTGTTGACTTTAAATCTTGCCGACTGATGTGTCAATATTCTTACATGTGAGCTTATTGTGAATGCAAATGATTACGTGTCTCTGCATTTCTGGATTTACTTGGATGAGTACTTTTCTATGCAGATACATGCTATTTAGAGCTGGGGTCCCACGACACGCTATCATACAGAAGGTTGCTAATGAGGAAATTTCCAGTCTTGGGGATCTAGTATCTGTTCTCTCAAAGCTCTCTAGGGGTGCTCGTGTTCCCTTGGAATATATATCTCACACCGATCGTCATCGCAAGAAGGTGATATACTTTGTTTAAAATATTATATTCTTAGACTTCTTAACCCACTGTAAAGTGTAAACATATACTTGTCAAAACTTGATGCTATCATTTATATATTGTATTTTGTCAGTCTACTCTATATTGGCATCTTCATTCTTGCATAAAATTTGTTGATTCCGTGATGATATTACCTCTTTCTCACTGTTCGAAGTATGTGATTTTTTTGCTACTGCAGTGCTGATAGATCTCTATAATCGCTGTCTATGGGGAAAATATTATCTTTATAACAAGTGTTTTCACATTTGCTCTTTTTACATTAACGTCCCTGTCATTAGCATGCTTGCTGCCCCTGCGTCTTTTTGAACTCTATGATGTTACTCAAATGAGAAGTACTTATTGTTGGGTTCCATTTCCTGCAGTCTGTGCTAGTCACAATTGATCGTCATGAATGGTACGCTCCTCCACAGTTGTATACCCGTAATGACAGTTCTGGTTTATGGGATGTGAAACCTGCAATTGAACCTGCGGCTGTTTCACCGTCTATTGGTAATAATGGCTTGCCTATAAGCCAACATATTCCTTTCTGCCATGACGATACAGAACCCATGCATGAAGTGAATGTTCGTGGGGTTACTGATTCTGCAGCTATTATGGAAGCCTCTAGTGGGGATGGTTCTCAGAATGATTTTGGCTCAGAAGCAAAGAAACAAAGAGTTGAAGATGATTCATTAGATGGAATTGCTGCAAATGGCTCCTTATATGGCAGTGAATTTAAATCTGATGATGCAATGGCAACAGATAACACTGTTTCAAGAGACTTCGAAGGTGCAACAGCACTGTCGGCTAATGCTTCATTGGCTGAACGTGCTATTGAGCCTGCTCTAGTCATGTTTGAGGTAATAACTAGACTTCTCCCAAATTTATCAGTTTCAAGCTGTTGAAATTTATTAGCTATTTCTCGATGTTTCTTTCTTGGTTCTTTATTGGTCCGTTGATTTTTCATTGGCAACGTATGATAATGATTAATAGTATATTTGGGTGTCGCAGTGGCTTCTATTAATATTAGTGCACAGAAGATAGGTTTGTCACTGAACCTCTCTAAAATAGTGTACAAAATTGAATACAAGATTCAGAGTTCCTAGATCAACAAAACTACAAAAGTAGTTACTTAAATTATTTCTCCTGAACATGTTAGATTTGGTATTCACTTCTTCAAGGCTGAAAAGTGATAATCTATGGATGCTTATAAGAAACCCATAGGAGTATGACCTGGTGAACTGAGTTACTGTCTTGGCTAAATATGTTTCTGGCATATGCATCTGTTGAAAAACTAAGTTCTCCTATACAGGTTCATGTCCCACCATCGTGCAGTCTTGATGGTGTACATTCACAACATTTCTTTGGGACTGGCATCATTATCTATCATTCTTCAAGCATGGGACTTGCTGTGGTGGACAAAAACACTGTTGCGATTTCTGCATCTGATGTTATGTTGTCCTTTGCTGCTTTTCCAGTCGAGATTCCTGGAGAGGTTAGATTTCCATGAGAATCTTATTGTTTATGGAAGGAAGCTTATATTAATCTTTCATAACTGAACTGCAGGTGGTATTTCTTCATCCTGTTCACAACTATGCTCTTATTGCCTATAATCCATCAGCAATGGGTCCTGCTAGTGCTTCAGTCATTCGTGCAGCTGAGCTACTTCCTGGTATGTCGCTATTCTGCTTTTGCTTCGTTTTTGTTAACTATTTGAAAGTTCCACCATTGCTCTGCATCTAACAGATGATTGCGCTTTTGTGAAAAGCTGTCTTATTAGATTCACATATATATTGTATTGCTTTCAATTGCCTCTCGTTTTAAATTTTCCTTTTTCTAGTCAAATCAACGGGATGAGTTCATGTTGCAATAACTTGTTTGAACAGAACCTGCGCTGCAACGTGGAGAGTCAGTTTATCTTGTCGGATTAAGTAGGAACCTTCAAGCCACGTCAAGAAAATCTATTGTAACCAATCCATGTGCAGCGTTAAACATTGGGTCTGCTGATTCTCCCCGCTACAGAGCTACTAATATGGAAGTGATCGAGCTTGACACAGGTAAGGAATTCAGAGCCTTTGACATCAAATTTAGTTACTTGAGACTTGTTTAATTCTCACTTTGTTTTTTTTTTGTTGTTTCTTTGCAGATTTTGGAAGCTCGTTTTCAGGGGCGTTGACTGATGAGCAGGGAAGGATTCGGGCCATTTGGGGAAGCTTTTCAACTCAGGTTCATCTTCCTACTTTGCAATTTACATAACTTTTGCGTGTGTTTTTCTAACATTCTGCTTTCTTGTGAATTGATCACAGGTTAAATATAGTTCCACTTCGTCAGAAGACCATCAGTTTGTCAGAGGTATCCCGCTATCTGCAATCAGCCAAGTCCTTGAAAAGATCATAAGCGGTGGAAATGGTCCATCTCTTCTCATAAATGGTGTCAAAAGGCCAATGCCTCTTGTTCGAATTTTGGAAGTTGAGCTGTATCCTACTTTGCTCTCAAAAGCCCGGAGTTTTGGTCTGACTGATGAATGGATCCAAGTAAGCATTTTGCTGTTTTAATTCTCTATCATATCTATATTATTATGTCTTTTTGCTTGTAATTTTTTCATCAAGTGGAATTGTGACTTCATACCAGACCTTTAGCAGAATGTTAGTATACTACAAGTAGGCGTTCTCAAAACTATGTATTCTGTTGATTGTTCTCACAGATACTAGTCAAAAAAGATCCTGTTAGACGACAAGTTCTACGTGTTAAAGGTTGCCTGGCAGGATCAAAAGCTGAAAATCTTCTTGAACAAGGCGACATGGTTCTGGCAGTCAATAAGATGCCAGTTACATGCTTCAATGACATAGAAGCCGCATGCCAAGAATTGGATAAGGGTAACCACAGTGATGAGAATCTCAATCTAACAATTCTTCGACAGGTGACACCATCAACTTCTGTTTATTGAGACATCTTATTGTTTATTTGTTCCTCTGTTGTCACCTTAGTCCTTGTGACAATTGATTAAGACCTTGTGACAGTTGATTAAGACCACCTGTGACAATAGTTCCTATCGGTTTCTTGATACAAAATAATTAAGGTGAAGAAAATAGATCCACTCGTTTTTACTCAGAATCCTGTTATTTTGTCAGGGACGAGAAATGGAGCTCGTAGTTGGAACTGATAAAAGAGATGGAAATGGAACTACAAGAGTGATAAATTGGTGCGGATGCGTTGTTCAGGATCCTCATCCTGCGGTTCGTGCTCTTGGGTTTCTTCCTGAGGAAGGTCATGGTGTCTATGTGACAAGGTACGGGTTATATGACTTATAAATGGAAATTTCAATTCGGTTCAAGTGTATTAACAAGAAACCTGATTCTTCGCAAAACTACTGGGTCTTAACCAACTAGAATTCATTGGTTGCTTGGATTTTTTTCTCTCTGATAAATTCTGTTCTCAGATGGTGCCATGGGAGTCCTGCACACCGATATGGCCTTTACGCGCTTCAATGGATCGTGGAAGTTAACGGGAAGAAGACTCCTGATCTAAACGCATTCGCAGATGCTACCAAGGTTTTTGTCTCATTCCTCTCAGAACTCACATTTTCAATTACGTTGGCCCTGAAGAAAAAGTGATGCAGCCGTTACAATTGTTC